AGAAGAAGATGCGGAAGACAGAGTTACATGGAGATGGATGACTCGCTGTGGCTATCATGATGTGTGGTGGAGACGGTTAAGAGACGCAGGCAGGACCCAGGTTGAGAAGTAAATGGTGAATTTAATGAGGGCAAAGGCAGCTCGAACAGTCCAGAACATAAGCAGCTCGGCAGAGCGGGAACAAAAACTCAGCACCGATAGCAACTGATAAGACTGACATGAGAACTAACGCCGTCACAGGATTATACAGTTCTACTGAGACAACAACGACACGACTGATACTGACGCTGACAAGGACAAAGACAAGGATCCGACAAAGGATAGAGATAACAGGTGGAGTTTAAATACACAGGGAAGGTAATCAGGGAATGAGACACACCGGGGAAACAATCAACAGGGAAGACACAGAGACTCACAGGGGAACAGGACTAAATGAACACAGAAAAACCTCAAAATAAATAAACAGAAAAAACACAAATCATCACAGTGGCGACCCCTAAAGGGAAATAGCCGAATGAAAAGAAGAAGTAATGTTATTACATAATGCTGCAATTACACTTTTGGTTTATTATAATTGCTAATGAAGTACACTTTTTAGTTACTATGTCTTTTATTATTCTGCTTTGCCACTTTCTACATGAATGCTTCATACACACTACAGTACTGCCAACACATCAGGCTACAGAACACAGAAGGATCAATTACAACACACTTTACAGGTGAAACTAATTGCGTTGTGCTTTCAATATATTACCATTTTGGTAACACTTTATTTGATGGGGTGTGCATAAGACTGACATGACACTGTCAAACATAAAACCTTTCATCCAACTTTTAAAGCAAATTCTCATTAAAAGTGTCATTCTTTACTGAATGACACTTCATGACACTGTTGGTATGTTCCTAACAGAAGTTCTGTCGTGTTTATGACAGTATCATATCAGTCTTATACACATCCCGTCAAATAAAGTCTTACCCACATTTTTTCAACAGCCAATATACTATAACAGAATTGTACAAATTGTCAATACATTTAAAGTTTACAGACAACATGCTTATGACAATTAGCACAATGAAACAATAGGTGCACTTTAGAGGAAATGTGAAAAATGTTTCACCAAGGAGTATTGCTTTAATACAATGTCACAGTATTCCAGTATTACTGCAGACAAGCTGACATTTCTCCTTCCTAAGAACAGTGAGGATCAGCAGAATATTCTCATTCACTACACTTTACAGAAACCTACAAAAAAGAACATAGAGCAATTAAACAGAGAAAGCATTTGTATTTTAAAAAGTACAGAAAAATGGCAACAAAAAAGTTAGACTTACAATTTTAAGAAATTGTGGACTCGTTATGCATGTGACATAATCAGAACTGATGATGACTGGGACCAGATGCTTGGGGTGGAAAAAAAATTCTGGGTGTCTTCTTTGCCTGTATAAGTTAGAAAAAAAATAGTCAGCAATATCATAGAATCAGCTTATGATGGCATTAGCTATGAAGCTGTTTTAAGTGTGGACTGAAGGGAGACAAACTACCTTAAAATCTTTCCATCCATTATCTGAACACACTGATCCTTGCAGGGTGGTGAGGGCGGCTGGTGGTGCCCATCTCCAGCAGTTGTCATAAATAGGGGTTTGGTGTGGTTTTTCGGTGGTGAGGATTGACGCAGAGACCCGTATTATGGTGATGATGATGAATTTAATGAAGATAATAAGCTCAACAGTCCAGATGACAGGCAGCACGGCAGAGCGGAAACACAGAGGCTCAGCACCGGTAGCAACTGAATACAAAGACTGACACGACGTGCTAATGCCGACACAGGACTTCACAGTTCAACTGTGCCGGCAGACGAACAGACATTAGACAAGGACCCGACAAGAGACAGAGACAACAGGTGGACATAAATACACACGGGGTAATCAAGGGAACGAGACACACCTGGGAACAATCAACGGGGAAGACGCAGAAACAGACTCACAGGACAGAAACCGAACACAGAAAACCCTAAAAATAAATACAGAAAACACGATCATGACAGCAGTCATCAGATGCGAGGCGGGGTTCACCCTGGAAAGGTCACCAGTCCATTACTGGGCCCTGAAAGCCAACAACAAATAAAATGTATGAAAGAGACATGGTAGATTAACAAGGGGGAAATTTTGTCCAGTTATTTTTAAATCAAATCATGTTTATTAAGCACTGGTAACACACCATGAAAATGAAGCTAGCTGGTCAGTAAAAAAAAAAAAAAAAAAAAAAGCCTTCCACCATGAAGACGATGTGGAGGTTCATCCTCAGAACAGGTTGTTGTTCTGGTGAAGTCAGAGCCTCTTCTGAGACAGGAAAGTCTTTAGGTTTTCTAATACCTGATCCCTGACTTCCTCTTCTATCTTCATATGCTTAGACTGCAAAGAGATGTTGAAGATAAAAACATTGATGAACAACAACCTCACAATATCAAAGTTTCTTTGTCATACAGCGCTTAATTAAAACCAGGTTAAGTTTATTAAGAGAAGTATATTAAGTTGCAACAAACAAAACTTTAGGTTACTTTCGTAACCCTGGTTACGAAAGTAGCCTGAGTGAGTGTCTCACAATGGGAACGCCCCTGGCGTGACCTCATCAGAAGCTCCTATTACATTACGCCAGCCAGGATTGGCTGGAGATAAGCCTGTCAGCGTCAGAGAGGGCAGGCACCCTCCCCCTATAAATAGGGCTGACGCTGAGCAGACATCTTATTCAAAAACGTTCACCTCTTCCTCGCAACGTCAGAGCAAGGAGGGTGACTTGGTGAGACACTCACTCATGCTACTCAGAGAACCGGGGTTACGAAAGTAACCTAAAGTTCTCTTTCATAGCATTCGTTTCGTGTCTCACAATGGGAACGAGAATATACTGACTCCCGAATTGCTCAGCAGAAACCACACCTTGTGTGTCAGATGTTCACTTAATCATTATTATTTACCAGGCACAGGTAGTTTTAGTGATTGGTGCTTACACTGAGAACTGAATGAGCCAGTGATGATGCTGTGACATCAAGCTTGTAAAACCGAGCAAATGTGTGAGAGGAGGCCCAACTTGCTGCAGCACAAATTTCTTGCAGAGGTACTCCTCTCAGCAAGGCCCATGAAGAGCTTAAGCCCCTAGTAGAATGGGCACGCAGCCCCTCAGGAGGTGTTAAAGCCCTTGAGCTATAGGCTAAGGAAATCGCTGCGGTGATCCAATGGGCAAGCCGTTGCTTGGACACCGGTTTTCCATAATGGTTCTTAGCCCAAGAGACAAACAACTGATCACTTTTCCTGACCTGTTTTGTTTTCTCTAAATAGATATCCAAAGCACGTACAGGGCAAAGGTTGTGCAGTTTCTCCTGCTCCAGTGAAGAAAAGGGAGGAGGATAAAAAGCCACCAATTCAATTGGGGAGTATGACCCCAACACCTTAGGCTCAAAAGCAGGGTTGGGGAGCAAAGACACCTTAGTTTTGTC